TCTTATGTTACACAATTAACAACACCAAAAAAAAATAGAAATAGACTGGTAGCGATCACCTCATTCCCAGGGGCTATTATTCAGTGTGTTATTCCCAACTTCCCAATTCGTGTTAGTCCCAACTAGCAACATCTGGTGAGCGTAAGACCCCCACTGCTGAGAGGGTTGTAGGGCAAGGAATATAGCAGCCCAGAGTCAGGAAGTTGGCGGTATTTTACCCCCGTGCCTCGAAGAGACACTCACCATACGAAACACAGCAGTGTCAAGCTGTCATTTTACGCTGGTATTCTGTGAGAGCGTGGTCCTTTCCCGGTCGAGCCGACCCATTCGTGCTACAACTATACTACTATATAGCTGCAGCATGGCTACCACGTATAAACGTTAGCTAAGAACTGGGTGTTTTTTTAGGATTCCAAAAACGTTACTATTGGATATTTGTCTTTAACTTAATTTTAAATTATATTATGCCAAGATTCCAATCAATGTATAATCCTGTGAGGTACTTCTTTTATTTCAGCGTTGATGTTTCAAACAATAAAAAATATACACAATCTTTGTGTGTTTATTTTTTATGGCTGACTTAGTAGACACTAAGTATATTGGGCCAGTTTTTATCGTTATGTTTCTATAAATGGCTGTATACAGCCGAGGGAGAAAATTGTTAGAAAAATAATCCGGTTATCCACCCTGTCTGGGGCGGATAGATGAACATGCGTTTCAGAGTATCCACCTTAGGGTGGATAAACGGAATAACCCATCAAATTACATTAAGGACCAAAATGCAGATGCGTTGTTACTCCAGAGGATAAGAATGCTCTTTAATGAGAATTAATACTCTTTTCTGGGTTAAAAGTATTAACAGTTCTCTACACTCACCAAACTAAACATCAGCGTTATGTTGCTAATTTGTGGTAGTATATACATTATTTTGGTTGAGCTGACCAACTCGTGTTATATAAAAACTGGGGCGGGGTGACATTACCACGTGAAATAATAAAACCATATCAACCATAAAATATTGTTTATTTAAATACATAATTACAAAAAAAATATTTACCATCAGGGTCAGATCGTTTCAGTTGTTTCGTTTTCGTTCTAATTACAAATAAATAAAAATAGAAAATATACATTCGTCTGAAATAATCTAACGTACAGTTCTGACAAAATACAATTTTTTGAACCTAATATCAGATCTAACTACTTTAGAATAGGAATACAGAGTAGTGCAGTATTGTCATAGTTGGACATTCCAAGTTCCGTGCTTAATAAAAAAAGCAGGAATCCTTGCTAAAATAAAATAAAATTTCATAAATATAACGACATCATAAAATAATTTGTACAATAAATGTGAAGGCATGGTATTGTGTAGATATTAAATAAATGTAAAAACGAGAGATGTGTCAGGATCGTGCCTAATGGAAGTCCGTAGTCTGTATTCTCCTTCAGGCGACAGGCGTTAAAATTAATGTATATAATATGCATATACATACAAAGGTAATTACACAAACCAGTTACAATATATATATATATATATATATATATATATATATATATATATATATTTATTTATTTATTTAACCCAAAACAAATATATATATTTATGTTTTCCAAGAAACCGGCAGCGCAGACAGCATAAGGAAATTAAAACAAAGCACCATAAAATTATTAACTCTGATACAAATGCATACAATTTGTGCCATAGATATGGACGTGCTTTTTTTTTATATTTATGTACATGTATTGAACAGAGGGCAGGCTCGTGCATAAAAAGTTAGCGAATTTTATTAATTTGAGTGCACTGGATTATTCAAATAGAGATCTATTTTCAAGTGCTAATATTCAATTATTGATCCTATATTACTATAAAATAGATAAATAATTGCACATTTACTTTCCGTAATTTTAAGTAATTTACTACATTACCTACACGTTTAAACCACATAAATCCTTTCGCACACTTCACTTTGACCAAATTCTGGGCTAGGTAAAGTCAAACAGCCACGTAGAACGCTAGTGTAAAATTATATCAAAAAACATCGAGGGGTATCAACTAATGAACTAATCTAGTCTTAGTAAATCAGGTATAGGTGGTTATTTAGTGTTTACGACTTAAACATAGTTTCAGACATGTATTTTCCTTACCACTACGATGACTGGCGGCAAAATGAGGCATTGCGTCATTACGAAACATTTAAAAAAGGTAAATTTCTACTTTTAAGAATAAATCAATAATTGATAAATTTTTTAAGGGTTGCAAACGAACACACAGTCAATGATGATAAGTGCATGCTGTGGCCCATGGATGTCTACATTTATCCTCGATTAAGACTCAAACTCGCGTTGTCAGTTGTCACCCCTGAAGACTTAGATGGAATGCCTCGTTTTCAGTAAAAAGGTTCTCTACATTCATCATACGAAACACAGCAGCATTAACCTGCTATTTTACGCCGATATTCCGTGAGAGCGGATTGGGCTCCAGGGTCCGTAAATAATTTCTTTAAGAGTATTGTTACTTTTTTGTTTTGACCTCGATTTGACTATTCCCACGTTCCTGATCTAAACGCATCATTGAAGTATTTGATAAATATGAAAACTCTCAAATTACTATCGAACCCTTTGTTAACTTATTTTAGACAAATCAAACACAATGTGGACTATGATATTCTTTCGCATATATCAGACAGCTTTTGCCTCATTTAATCCACCAAATAAACCTACATATGAATGCATGCAATATACGATATGTGCGATAAACATGGACCGTAACAGAGTACAATTTAATTTAATATGAAGCATAAAAAAACTATTTACTTAACTGTAAAACATAAATGCAAATTAATAAATTAATAAAAAAACTACATAGGTCAATTTCTTCTAAGTTACATAGCGACTAAAAATATTTGAAAATATAGCCTCAAATAAAATAAGTTACTCACAGTCTCTTCCAAAAAAAAAAAAGAAATCGTTTACATATCGAACAATTAGGTACTATTAATTTAATTTGCTTAACTAGCTTATAAGTACTTCGTTTTTTTTTAATATTCTTAGAACGTAGGAAAACACGACACGCCCGCAGTACTAAAGGCTCAATCTTCTCCATTGTAAATTTTAACAAATGATAACTTTGTCAACAATAATATTTACTGGTTATTCATTGCTCGCGTATTGAATCACTATCTACCGAAAACATTAATATATCACTTCATTAGTATATTTAATTTTAAAAAAAATCTCTACTCATTTTAACAGTTTTTTGTAAATTCGATTTATATTCGTCAGCATTTGTAAATTGACGTCGAATTGCTGACGTAAAAGTTTGAATTAATAGTTATTAATATTAAATTAAATTTTTCATTGATATATGAAGTGATGTAATCAGTTCATATTATATCATATGAGAACAAAACCAGTACTTAAAAATTACCTATCTTCACACTTCAACACATTCTCCTTTAGCACCAACTTACTTACTTACTACTAATTTCGTAATAATGAAAAGTTTACGTTAACTCTAAAATATAGATAGACATCACTAAGTAAACAGTTCATGAGCAGGTGGACTAGTTCATAGAGTATACAGTAATATAAAGTTAATAAACAATGTTAAGTTTTAAGTCTATAGTACTATTATTAGATTTAAACATTTACCCCACTTGCGACTATCGTGTTCACGACCATTACACAAACAAAAAATGAGCGTCAATAAACAAGGCATCTTCGTTTATAGATTTAAAATGCAGATATTAAATGTTACACAATAATTATTTTGTGCATTGTATTGACATATCAGAAGCTATGTAATGCATACAATGTGGTTTCAGATTTATAAATAAGTAACTGAATTAAATTTCTTTAAATATAAAATTAACTGTGCCACTATCAATTCACACAAAAATACTGTAAAATTGAGGACCTCCTTCTTATTCGAAGTCAGGTGAAATGGCGGCGTGTGGGGTTATGGGAACATACACTACACTAAAATTTTAAACAGCAACGAGATCATCGTGAATGTGCCTTAAAATTAATTATCTATGAAACATTGGCACGTGTTCGATTGTTCGTGTTCTAATTTATCTTAATTCTACTTTCGTTCGAAAATATGCTGAGATGTGCCATTATATGATAACATAATGATAGTGCTATTAAATATTATTAAATATTTTATATTATTTAATTTTTGTAAATACAAGCTTTTATAGAATTACAAAATGGGAGTTAAACTCGAATTTTTTGGCACTAATAAGTGGGTGCCATTGTGTTTTATTAAGAGCGAGATTGTCATTCATGGCACGAACTCGAATATTTTTGAAATATATTCATGTTTGTTTTTTTTTTCATTAAATAATACATGCAATGATAAAAATAATGGAAACTAAAAGATAGCAAAACGTTATTTTGCTATATCTACGAACTAGCAATCAACATTGCCATATTTTTAGGGAGTGGGTCGGATGGTCCAGAATGTAGGGTTACCACTTACCAACCCAAAATTTAAAATAAGTACATAATAATTTCACACAAAAATACTTTGAAATAAATATTGTGCAATTGAGGAATCAACAAATTAATTCCACTTGATTAATTTTAAAGAAATTATTAAATCCTTTTTCTTTATTGGCCCGTCGCTTTCAGGTGCTAGGTCCCCTAAAAAATAACCTACGATACGCTAATGTCAAACAACTCCAACTAAATTTTTATTATTACTTATTTAAGGCCCTGATAACTTATTTCAAATTATAATTTTTATGTTGTTTTAACAAAAAAAAAATTAGTTGTTGTTAAGAGAACAAAAAAAGGAATTTTTAAAGATTAGGTAACCCATTTTCCATTTTTTTAGATGTGTTAGAAATGGCATTAAGTATAAGATAAATATTTGATAAATCGAGTCCTTCCTTTGTTATGCTGACACAGACGTAATTAGCATGCAAATATAACTTTATCTTTTAGAATTCGACTTTTTATTGTAGAACAATATAAGCTAGCTACGTTGTCTGTCAGTTTTAACGCGGCGGTGAGGCCGCAGCGATGCGCTGTCGCAGACGCGCGAACTTGCAGTGCACGAGCCGCAGCTGGGTACGTAGACGTGAAGACAGCTCGCGTTGGAGCGCCTGCACCTCCATCAGTTCCCGTCGCAGCTGCTGATAATCTGAGCGCACCTGTTTGAAACATAACTTCATTATTTGTCCCGCATAACTCCAATAAAGCTACTTTTTCTAGCTCATCATTTTTCAAAGTAGTAAACTAGTTTGTAATTATTTAGTTTAAGATAATTAGGATATTATTTAGTGTATGAACTATTGTCCAATCTTGATTATAAATTAAAAATAATAAATATAAGTAAATAATTCTTATATTTTTTTTGTTTCTTGCATTAGTAACTTAAAAATAATCAAAAGGAATATAGATGAGACAAATTACGACGTTTATAATAATACATTTCCACCTGACAGTTTGTAACTACGCAGGGTACTGACGGCACGAAAAATAAGTTAGTTTGTATACGCCAATTTATTTTTATTTATTTTTCTGTTTTAGTTTTTTTTTATCTCTTGCCACAAGCATTTTAAACCTTTAGAATGGTCACGGTCAATGGACAGTGGGAATACTCGTAATGTTATTCCATTGCTAGAGTTTTTTTTTATTAAACTAACTTTTACGATGCTGTCACGTTTAATTCAATTTTACTTCTTTTATATGTAATTTATATTCGCGACGTTTAGTGTGTCGTAGCGCACATGGTTACGAGAGAGACCGAGATGTTTAGTCCTGATGTCAGGCCTCGACTGCCTTAAACTCCTAAATGTTTATTTTTGGTACGATCTAAGCAGAATTAAATCTTGAAGTCTTGCAATTGCATGCTTGGCTTGGATATAATTTTATTAATTATGGGATCTCAAACAGATGACCTAGTACGGTTAGCCTCGTACTGGTAAACGAAGTGTAGAATGGCCCCTGCTAGGTGGAGTAATGACCTGGTGAGCGAACCAAGAAGTCGATTAATGCTGGTAGCACAGGACTGTGCTTTCTGGTAATCCTGGGGGTGGGGAGGCGCTAATAATTCGTAAAAATTTGATTCATTTATTGTGATGTATTGTAAGTATTATAAGTTGTTTTTATAAATAAACTAGTGATCCGCCCCGGCTTCGCACGGTGATTTCTGGATCTCGATAATAGCGCCACCTACCGGGTCCAATTGTAATTCTAAACCATCCATGGACCCACTCAAACACAAAAATAAATTCATTAAAATAGGTCCAGCCATTTTCGAGCTTTTGCGAGACAAATGGACAACAATTGATTTTTATATAAATAAATTAGTGTTGCCCAAAATCGGTCTTGGTCTTGCAGTCTTGGTCTTGTTCTTGCATTTTTGCAAGACCAAGACCAAGAACAAAACCGCCTCTTTTTAGCAAGACCAAGACCAAGACTGACCGTGCAAGATTTGCGCAAGAACAAGACTTAGCTTGCGAGACTCTTGCGTCTTGCAGTTAGGACTAAGTGTCGTTTCAGGGAGTATAGGAGTTCGGGTATACGCCTAAGCGTACTCTATGAGACGCAGAAAATATAATGAAAAAAAAAATTTAAAAATTGGACTTATGCGCATTACGAACAATACCATAAATATACATAGCGAATGAAAATATCCATTAAAAGAAAAAAGAGTGCATCCCTAGTTTTGACCATCGGCACTTTGATGGTGCGCGGCGTCTTGTTGTCGGCGTCATCAAAGGTCGGATACTGACCTGTCAAAGAAATTGTGTAGCTATTCGAAAGTACAAGGTCAAGATACACGTGCCGGCGAATACTATTGATATCGCATAATCGTCGCCGTCGCGCCAGACGCACTACATTTGACACTGTTTGATTGCCGCCACAGAGTACATGTTTCAAAGAATAAAATAAGTTTCCGGGTGCTCAGAATGGACCCGAATACATTATCCTGATCTCGCAAGAAATCTTGTAATTAGATAATAGGTAGGTATCATAATAATTTATTCTAGTAAGTAATTATTATAAAATTAACTATATGGATTTATAATAATTACTTACTATTATTGTTATTATTATTACCTAAAAGACAAACATGTTCAGTAAGTTCACTGCAAATCTCGACTTTTGCAAGTGTGTGTTTTTAAAACACAAAGTGCTCGAATATGTCGTCACACATTTGATAAATATGGTTGACACCATAGCACTTTTAAAACACTTGAAATGTGTAAAAATGGATCTGGATCTTGTCTTCAATGCTTAGTTATTAAGGAGTTGGAGGGGTACCTAGGTAAACCCAGAGCCGTCATCTCGGAAGACATTTTAGACTGTTGGAGGACGCATGAGACTAAATATCTGATTTTATCTAAGATGGCCCGTGATTTTCTTTTAATAACTGCAACTTCAGTACCTGCTGAGAGATTATTTTCTAAAGCATCATTAGTAATTAGAAAACATAGAAATAGGTTAAGTGTTAAGTTACTTTGTATTAATGCTTTGTCAAAAGATTAAATATAAAGTAACAGTAATGTCAAAGCTATTGTTACATACTGTGTGTACATACTGTGAAGTAATTTAATTTGCATCGTATTTTATTTTTTATTTAAATAAATGGTATATTGTATAACTCTTTTATTCCATTTCATATATAGTGAGGGTCCATCAATCTCTTTCTAGCGAGATAATGTTATTTAAAATACAGTGGAGTTATTGCCATTAATTTGTTTTTATATGTATGTTTAACTATGTTTTAGCACATGTAAGCTTATTAATGTAAACGTTTATTAAGAAACTGACGCCCGTGGCCGTGGGACATGGTAGATAGCTCAGTTGGTTAGAGCATCGGCACGGATCGCTTAGGTCGTGGGTTCAAACCCCACCCGGTGTCAGTTGATTTTTCGAATTTCTCATTAAATGTTTAGACATTTATTAATATGGTTGGTCTTTACTATGGCTATGTTAACATAGCCATAGTAAAGATCAACCTTAACAGAGTAGGTACATATTGAGCTTGAATTAATTCAAGCTCAATATGTACCTACTCTGTTAAGTTGTTCTAAGATCTAAAGTAACGTTTAATAAATAGTAATAGGCTAATAGGTCATTGCGAGACTTGCGAGACTCTTGCTGCAAGACCAAGACCAAGACTGGGAGCGCAATACCAAGACCACGACCAAGACCAGGTGTATTGGCGCAATACCAAGACCAAGACTTGCTAAGTCTTGTCTTGTTCTTGCATTTGGGCAACACTAAAATAAATATAAAAAGGTAGTTTTTATACTTGAAGTTCTTTTTGAATTTCTTTTTTACGTATCATTAAAATATTTTACAACATGCAGCAAAAATAATTTTATGAATGACGGCTTCGCTTGAAGCTACTTTTTTTAATTAAAAACCTTGGGTGTCGAGGTCAAAGCGTTTTATGTTTTGATGAGATGACATCGTCGTTTGTTTACACATAAAATCTCCCCGGGCATAACATTCGTTAAGAAATACCACATAATTATACACAAAAAAGATATAATTCTGTATACATCCATTATATTATGCAAGAATCAAATTTTGTTTTCATTACTATTGTTCAATAATCCATACACATCAGAAAAAAAACATCATTATTTCATAATTATTACGAGTACACACGTTGAGGCAAAGAAATCTGGTCATAAATAGTAAAGTTGACCAAGCAAAACTTCCTCTATAATTGTTCTTAAAAATGAAATGAATATGGTAGTACCACTTGAAGTATCAGATGAGGAACATGTTTCAAAAAAATAGGTCAAACTAAATTTATGTCACGCAGTACAGTTGTTGTGTCTGTTGTATAACAAATAGTGTGAATGGATGATTAATATTCGAAATAAAAACATTTGTACTTAAAAAACGAACTAAATAAATATACTATCAGCACTATTTTAAAACAGTTAAATGAGGTCGACAAGCACAGTATTTGGGCTTTACATGCATTATAGGCAGCACAAATTAGGCGTCCTTATTCAATTTCACAGACTAGTATTATACAAGAGATAATTTGCTATAGCCAAAAAGCAAATTATTTGTTGTATGTTCCTCTCTCTTTTGAAACTTATAAGGTAAAATATTTAAATTCACTGCCCAATTTGAACTGACACTTAAAATTAAAAAGAGAGATTTCGTCATTTTTAATAATATTTCTTTTTCAAAAATATAGAATTTGAGGCGCAAAGCACACGAAAAGCTACTCTGCGTTCTAAGTCAGCTGGATGATGTGATGAAGAAGAGAAGAAGTAAAAACGTTTCAAAAGAATGCTAAGATCAAGCTTAGAACCTGTATTAGAACAGACACAACAATTATGTTTAGGAAATATTATGACACCAATAGAATCTATAACAAATGTCTGACTTTTAATTTTTCGTATAGTCGCTCCTGCCACAAATATTGCTTAAGCCTTATTGATGAAGCATGTTGAAACTGTGGGCCCTGTCAAAAAGGATTTTCATTATAATTGGCTTAAATTTTGTACCACATTTAAGCCTGTCTGTCTACTTCAATAAGCATGACAGCTGCAACTTGAGGCTTTTCATTTCTCTACATGATAAAACTAGCAAAGTTCCTACTTTCCAAATAATTTTAATAAATTATAATCAAAATGGGAATGGAGTGACGTGTGGCCGTTATTAGTCATCATTATCTGTATCTTCAAAGACATTTTAAGTTTTATCTAAGTAATTACCAACATGGGTTTGCAGGTTCTAGGTCTATATTCAACAATCATATCACTTTCACTGAGTATCTGATAAAAGCTGTTGGCGCTAGTAAGCAAGTGTATGTTATCAATACATATCTCAGTAAAGCTTTCAAGATACTCCCACATGATATTCTGATCCAAAAATTGTCAGCTTACGGAATTACAGCGTCCATTCTAAATTGGCCAGCATCCTACCTCTCTGAAAGAGGTTTTTATGCAGTGATAAACGGCTTTCTTTCTAGCGCTCAAAATATAGCCCCAGGTGTCTCTCGGGGGTGTCATTTGAGTCTAATCCTTTTTAATATGAGGATGACATACAATATTATAGTACAACATTTTAGTCTGTAGCATTTTGAAATACTGTAACGTAATGTGGTGTTTACATTACTCTGTTCATTAATTATGAATGGAACGTATACAAAAACGTATTATGTGGCATCTTACATTCGCAGAAGGTAAAATTAAGAAATTATTATCCTGTATAAGCAGACTATCACAAACTCACGATCACAATGATGGTCCAGATTTTTTTTAAATATTGGTATTTTTTTTATAGGATAGGGTAAGAAACGAGCACACAGTTCACCTGACGGTAAGTGGTTGCTGTGGCCCATAGACATCTAAATCTATCCTCAGTAAAGTATCAAAATACAGATGCGTTGTCACACGTGAGGACTAAGATGGAATGCATCATCATTTCCAGTAAAAAGGGTCTCCGGTTCTCTTCACTCACCATACGAAACAGAGCAATGTTAAGCTGTTTGTCTTGTCTACTAAGTACTCAGTGTTAGGTTGTTTTATTGTCTACAGTTGATAGGTCATTTAGACAACTCGTTATTTCAAAATTCCAAGAACCCAAATCACATCATTGTGTACACCGTTTGAAAAAACTGTACTCAGGATAGGAGAATTCGAGAAATACGATCTTGTTTCTTCTAGCTTTAAGTCTTTACATCTAAGCAAGCGGTATTTACCTTTAAAAAGCTAGATTTATGCTTAGAAAGATAAAAGTTATACTTATATTGAATACAGCTGCTGGTAGATCTATTATAATATATTTAAATAATTATGATAAAGGGTTCGGCTACGGAATGAAGAGACAGAAAGAGCATAATTAAATTAGTAACTGGCAATTTAGTGTCTAGTTTTATTTTTCGATTACTTTTATATAGTTGGATTATTATATATACAAAATAAAATAAAATATTTATTTTTTACTTTTGTATTCTTATATCAATTATTTTTCTTAGACTTTCTTCATCTATCTCCGTATCACCCCAAGGTAGACTTGCGCTATCCAAATCCTTTTGAAACCATATTTATCTAAGTAAAATTAATGTATCCAAGTCATCACCATTCCCATTTTTATTTCAAACCAATTTTTTTTATATTATAAGGGAAAATATTAAGTGTAAATGAAAAGCATCAAGCCGTGAGCAACATGACACTGGTACATTAACGTTTTCTGACCTTCAATTCAACCCTATAATGCAAGGGGCTGAAAAACAAACACAATACTTTAAAGATGCAAATATAAGGCACTCACAGAAATATTTTTATTGCACAGAACAGATATCAGCTAAAACTATTTTTTCAACATTTATAATTACAATATTTATTTTATAAGATGTAAAATAAATATTCAACTATTATTGAATAAAACTACTTTTACCTTCGGATTCTATCGCGTTTAATTAACTTACAGACCACCGTGACCATGGGTGTTAATTAAACGCGATAGAATCAATAATATAATATAATAGAATCAATAATCAATAATAGTTGACTATTTATTTTACATCTTATAAAATAAATATTGTAATTATAAATGTTGAATAAATAATTTTAGCTGATATCTGTTCTGTTCTGTGCTGATAACGTGTAGTGTTCGCGTAAATATAAGAAATCATTATATTCAACTACTACTTTAGACTGATAAATCTGTTAAAACTATTAGGCAATCTATTATAATATTTATTAGGCCCTAGTCCTACATGTCTGTTGAGTGTGAGAATGCCGTTTGCGTCACACTCTTTCATACAGCGCCTCAAACCAGGCCTGCCTAGTATAGTAGTAACGCTGCCCATTATAAGTAAGCTTCTGTCCATGTTTTCTTAAACTTTCAGTCGTTATTTCATCATCATCATCATTACAGCCCTTCACAAGTCCACTGCTGAACATAGGCCTCCCCCAAGGAATGCCACAAAGCTCGGTCCTGAGCCACCTGCATCCATCGACTTCCTGCATGTCTTACCAGGTCGTCACTCCATCTAGTAGCGGGACGCCCTACACTTCGTCCGCCAGTACGAGGCTGCCACTCGAAAATTTTTTTTCCCTATCGGTTGTCGGTTCTTCAAGCAATATGGCCGGCCAATTTTTTATGGGTTCATCTAAGGTAAATCATTGATATACATAGATCGGTAATCTGAAGTGACAAAGGACCAGCTATATAGCTGGAAGAACTGACAACTGATGGGGAAGAAAGGTTCTCAAGTGGTAGCCTCCTACCGGTCGCGAAGCGTAGCCCCCACTAGATGAAGTGACGACCTGGTAAGATATGCAGGAAGCTGATGGATGCATTCCTTGGGGGAGGCCTTTGTTCAGCAGTGGACTTGTGAAGGGTTGTAATTATGATGATAATGATGATACATCGATTATTGTGTGTCTACAAATTTTATAAATAATAACAATCTTTTTTGTCAACTGTACTAGTACTTCCGCCTCTGACGTCATTTTCTAACAATCGAAGATAGCATTCTCAAAACAGCCAGGTAGAATTGATAAATAAACTCGCTCAAAAACAGTGTCGAACATAAGTTATACAAATTAGTGTTATAGGTTTGTAAAACGTCAAATAATAATAATGAGGAAGGTGGCTATCTGTCCCAGAATTTGTGGAACGGTCCAGCAACATAAATTATAATCCAAAATTGTATTAATTAACAAATTAATCTCAAAATGTCTCAAACTTTCTATTTGGCGCGCATTCTATGTGGGTACTGTAAAACAATAACTTTAAATTAAAACGTTATGTGTATTTTCCTATTATTATTAACAGGCAACTGTAAAATTAATAATTTAAAATTAGAAGTTTTGTACAACCAACTTGAATATAAATTATTAAGAAATACTCAAAAACTATTGGTCAAACCTTGATCAAATTTATATGGGACCACATGAGAAGCACCAGCTTTCAAATAAAAAAAGAATCATCGAAATTGGTTCACCCAGAAAAAAGTTATGAGGTAACAACATAAAAAAAACACAGTCGAATTGAATACCGTCTCCTTTTTGAAGTCGGTAGAAAACTGTGAAAACTTGAATGATATTCTAAACTCTAAAGAAACAATAAAAATGCTACTCATATGGGATTGTCACAAAGTTGGCCTCCTTACTATTTGTCATTATTTTAATGAAACATTTATAAACATACTGTAACAATTTCAGAATTAAAACTTATGTATTAGCAAATTCAAGATGATTCATCTTACTTTAATAAAACTGAATACTTACCTCTGATACAGATTTCAGCAAATTCATGACGCACACTTCTTGATTATTTATGGGCTCTGCCAACTGTTTCTCCACATTGTCCATCTTCCACTCCATCATGTCCAACTGCTGATCAGTGCACTTAACCTGCATAAGGGCTCTTACATAAAAATATTTTCTTGTAAATCAATAAAGTAAAAAAACCAGATGTAAAAATATAATAGTATTTAAAGCATGCTGAACACAAATGTTTAACAATAGAAACCGGCCAAGTGCGAGTCGGACTCACGCATCAAGGCTTAGTAGTAGGGTCCCATTGGTTACCCTTCGAGTATGGAACCCTAAAACCAGAAAACAGAGATTCAAAATAATATTCATAGGTGAGAAATCTTCATCAACCTATAAAAGTCCACAGTTGGACCTTTCCTGCAGTGGAGAGAATTTTACTTAATTGTCACGCAGTACCAGACAATTTGCACTTTTGATGCTTCTGCCAGTCGCCGGTCTGGGAGCATTTTATATCCGATCTAAACTAAAACGGTATAGCACTATTAATTGTAATCCACAAGACTTTTCTGACATTTGCTATAGTTGCTTTGTGTGAAACACAAGGCAACTATAGCAAATTACCTATATAGACTATAGACCACTGTAATGCAATGATAATCTTCGGTCAACCAATAGCAAAATTATACACGCTACAAACTAATAATTCCAATGACCTATATAATCAGCTAACCAATATGTGAGCTAAGTATGGTGATCACTACAAATCCATATATGTATTGGTAAAAGAACTTATATAGACAAGAACTGTTTTGGGGTAGTAAGAAAACCTTAAAGTTTATAATATGTGTGTTTACACTGTTTAAAGTATAATAGCCATTCTCTTAATTATAAAACTAGCTTGTGTTTTCTTCATTCACATCCCAAAAGAAAGGAAGCTATCAACACATAAGTTATATATCAAGCCCTATTGGTTTGATAATGATACCAAATCCCATAAAAATAATGTTAAATAACAGTACTTTCATCTTTTTTTTTAAATACTAGTAATGCTATTAAACATTACTAATATTCCCTTAAACCACTTCTAGTATGGTTAAAATGCTTGTGTTAGAAGTGGTTCATGACAGTAGTCGAACAGTGGATTTGAACCCACGACCTTTCGAGTTCACGGTCCCTGCCATTAGGCTATTGACGCTTCATTTATTTATTCAGGCACACAAAACAGAATAACATCAAAACATGAACAATTGAACATAATAAACGCAAAGTTACAATCTGGATGGTATTCCAAAACATGTACACACAACATGATATTAGGTAACAGTAACGAGTTTAAACCAAAAATACTAATAACCATACTTATAAACGTACATATATACTTATAAACTAATGTTGTGGAAAATTTAATACTTAATAAAATAATGTTCATTAATCTTTATGTTTAAGTTTAGAATGCCTTATTTACAAAGTATATCTAATACGGATTTTTTGAAATTGTCTACTTTGTTAATAAATATGTTGATATTTTTACTATTACTAATCAATAAGCCATCATTGTAAAGGCAACACATTCTTACTAGAGGATTATAATAGGATGATTTCTATAAACTTGCAAAGTAAAAGTGTTTAGGAAAGTATAGTGACGATAGGGCTTAATATTAGTCTTGACAAATATAAGATAAGATAAGCCATTTATTCCAAACTTTGGGATTACATGATTATGACAATAAATAGTTGCAGATTGGGTAATGTATAAATTAAAGGATGTCCCGCAGTTCAGTGTGCCTCTTGGCATAGACCTCCTCCAACATTTTCCACTGTGTTCTGTCAATGGTTATTGGTTCAGCGTTTGTGAGTAATTTTGTCTTTTCTTTGTTCATGGACAAGTTTTAGTTCCATTTGTAAAAGTTGATTAAACCCTTGCTCATCCTCCTCGAAATTTTAAGACTGTCATTTTGCAGACAACAGAAAAACAAATAGAATAGAAGTATATTTTATTAAATATAGATTACAAGTAATTCTTATTGAAAGCTATTTTTTACTTTACCACTGACTAAATTACAAAATAAACTCTGTCCTGGGAGGAACCAGCAAGACAACTAGTGGAACTTTTTACTAAGTAAAATTTTACAATAGCAACACGGTTGTACAAACTACTTATTACTTTACTTATTTAACTTTAACTTATTTAAGTAACTACTTGGAAGCGACCATCTCATTCTCAGGAGTTATTGTCAACCATGTATAAATTTATATTGTAATAACCTTTTATAAACAGTTTTTGTTTGGTAATATATGTCAGCCTCATTCCATAAAAAAAAAGATAGACCTCGTCTATTTTCTGAGACTTAGTTGTAATAGTTTATAGATCGCCCCATTATAGATCGCATAATCTGTGGAGTTGAGAAACTGGTGTCACTAGCTTGTTTGTTCCTGGTGTTTACAGTGTGTATATCAGTTGTTTTATTAAAACTATTTTTGTTTTTGTAAACATATTGAGTGGCCAAAATTAATATATTTATTTGTTAAAATTTTTCTCTAAGACTTTTGGTTTGAGGTTGTAAAGAACTCATATGGCTTCTTCTTCAAAACAAATATTGCAAAAAGCAAAGTAGAGTTGCAACGGCTTCACAATAGTTAAATCTTCTTTTCCAAGACAATAATATGTTCATTTCAAAACATTGTAATATTTTTACCTATAATATTACCAAATCCAAAAGAGTTAACAACAATAACATAGTAATTTACATCTTTTTAATATGTCGCAAAAAGAGGGGTGTTATAAAATTGACAGCTATAATATGTATCTGTCTGTGGCACCGTATCTCTTATACGGGTGGACCGATTTGGGTGCGTTTTTTTTTATTTTGCAGGTATAAGTCCAGCAGTGGACTTAAAAAGAGCTTAAAGTTGGAAACTCTAATATTTCATAATAAACTAGAATTATCTTCCCATATAGTTGTTAAATTTTTTTATCAAGTACTGTTTGATTTTTTTTAACTAAAATAATCAAACAAATTAGAGGTCTTATAGTGAAAAATCTGTTAGAGAAGATAAAAATTTAATAATAAAAAAATTGGTAAATGCTACCCATGTTAGGGATTTATTTAAAAAAAATGTGACAAATACTTGGTGGCAGGATTTCTTTTTCTGCCAATGCAAAAAGTCAATCTAGGTTGAGAGCAAACCATAAGACGGATACATGTATCACAAAGTCTCACATTTTCGTTCAAGTTTTTTTGTTTACCTCTATACTAATATAAGTTTAAATAGGCGGCTTACTGACCTAAATAAAATCCAGCTAGCTCTACCCATATCTACTTAAGAAAATATTAGTGTACTTTACCGTTTCATCCAATTCCTCCATTGTCACCTCCTTCTCGGTCATATTTGTTATTACAATAAAACTACTTTACTTAGAAATTTTAAAAAATAAATGAAAAAAATCGGGAAATAAACCGACCATATTTAGATTTTAGATAAAATTGACACTGACACTTGTTTTTTTAATTTTATAAAGGCAAAGAAATCTATGCCCATACAACATAGTCTGACTGCTCTGACGTATATTTTGTTTATATTTTTTTACAATAATACGTTGATGCTTTGCGAAAATTTATGAGATTTTGACAATATTCTATATGTATACATTAGATTGGCGACGGAGTGATTAGGGTGAGACCAAAAACGAAATGTACCTATGTGAGTGAAATGTGCATGTGTGCGAGACGAATAGTGCTGCGCCATGCAACAACTTCCATTATCGATACATCATCCGTGTTATAAAATGAATACTTTTATGTTTGAGGGCAGATAGTGTCAATTAGGAGTGAGTAATACCGCTTTTTCTGAATATTATATCGAAACTATATATCGATATTTGACATCGGATTTCGAAACACTATGTTTTCTGAAACTATATATTGACGATATTATGTCGTTCTAGTATACCTCGAGATGAAAATCAACCCCATAGTTATTTCGATACCGGTTTCGCAACGATTTTTGACAAAGTAGATACTGACTCAATACTGGGCTACGTACACACATTATATATTATGTATCCTACTATATGATACTTTAAGTGACTATGTACTACTATGATAACTAGAGTATGCACTGTATATTGTATACAATATATAACTAAGCTAATAGTCACTATTAATGGACTGTCCTTCATACTTATATCAGTTTAGGAGTGCCTGAAATATTTTCGGTTTTGTAAAAACCGTGTTCTATTGTTTTAATAGTTTATTAGGTACGTACATATACCGTCTTACTATAATAATGCAGGCGTATTTATCAGTCCATTTGCTGATCTGTATATTCTACACTATATAAAATCGTTTTACAAGTTAAGCAGTATAATTAACAGTATAAAGTTAAAAACAGTATAAGGTTAAAATAAGTTTTTTTGTTTTATTTTTTGCTAACTACTAAATAGAAGTTGGGGTGATTATTCAAATCTGTGTTTGTTAAAATTAACATTTAAAAATGCGATTCAAAGTTTCAATTTAACTAAATTAATATCTATACAGTAACAGCAAACAAATTCACACTACAGATTTATTAAATACACCTTCATAACTGAGTCACAAATTATTATAAACGCGAAATTCTTAATATCAAAATGTACTTCTTGCACTAAGTATAATATAAAATTGGTACTTATACACAAACATACTACGTACGTAGTGTATATTGAGTTATAAACTACTAAGTACGCAGTACATTATAACTCAATGAACACAAATAATTATTTACTCTTATAATGTGAGTCACAAATTTAAATTATTTTACACCAAAAATATCAAATTATTAATATCTAAACTTCTAAAACTAAGGAGGAATAACAAATAAATGCGCTCACGCGATTAAGATCAAAAGTTGAAATTTCATAAAACAATCGCGCCAAAATACCAAGAGAATCAAGTCTGCTCGGTATTCATTCGTGATACGGTATCGGTTTGACTTCGGATTTCGATACTAATGCGATACAATATCGTCGCAAATCGCGATCGGCTGCTGGGTACAAGCAATATAGTGTTTTGCCCGGATATATAGTTTTTGATCAGGCCGATATTGGATATACGATATTGAAGCAATATATAGATTCAATAACTATACATAATATACGTTTTGTATTGCCCATTCCTAGTGTCAATCTCCACAAAAATTAGATTAGAAATAGCGGGAATTCAAGTATTCGTTATAATTTTTAATATGATTCTTACGCATTTAGAGTATTCTCGTAAAAAATGCGATATTTTCCCCTATCGATTTGTGTATAAAAAATTTGAATCAGTTCTAAAATATGGCATTGAGTGCTAAATTTTTTAATTGTACTTACGTATGAAATGTATAATATTGTGGATTTTTTTCTCTCGATGAACTGCATTCAAGGTCTGCACACACCACCTTATTTAATCACACATTTTAAACACGAATTCTTATCAGACACTATTCCTATGATATCACGGACGTCAGTCTGAGTGAGATTGGCTCTCCAGCACCTTAATAAAAGCAAGTCCCCGGGCAAGGATGGAATTACAGCAGAGCTTCTGAAAGCGGGTGGAAAACTGGTACTTGAAGTCCTTCAGGAGATCATTAAATCCATCCTCCGTGGTGACACTACTCCGGAGGTGTGGAGCAGGAGTGCCCTGGTATTGTTCTTCAAGAAAGGTGACGCTGTCTTGAAGAACTACAGACCGATTTCCCTTCTGAGCCGCGTCTACGTGCTGTTTTCGAGTCATTACGAATCGTATCGATTGCAGACTCGACGACTTCCAGCCACACGAACAAGCCGGGTTCCGAAAAGGCTTTAGCACAATAGACGACATACATACCCTTCGGCATATTACAGAAAACCGAAGAGTACAATCTGCCACTTTATCTTGCGTATGTGGGTTATGACAAAGCATTTGATTCTGTCGAAATTTGGGCGGTGAGGCAGTCCCCTCAGTGGTGCCAAGTGGACTGTCGGTATATCGAAGTGTTGAAGTGTTTGTACTGTAGGGCTACAATGACTATCCGAGTACAGAACCAGAGTACGAAACCTATCCAACTGCAGAGAGGCATAAGACAGGGTGACGTAATATCCCCAAAACTCTTCACCGCTGCATTGGAAGACGTTTTCAAGCTACTGGAATGGAAAGGATACGTTATTAACGTCAATGGCGAGTACATCACTCACCTTCGATTTGCCGACGATATAGTCCTTATGGCAGAATCTGGCTAAAAATCTGATAAAGGCTGGAGGACCTAAGCACTATGCTCAATGACATCAAGTGTCTATCAATGGATAGGTCTTAAGATGAACACGAATAAAACAAAAATCATGTGTAATGTCCATATCAGTCCTATGCCGGTGGTTGTTAGGAGCACTAAACTCGAATTTGTTGACGAGTATGTTTACCTGGGACAAATAATACGACTCGGTAAGTCCAACGTTGACTGAGTGGTCAATCGACGGATTCAACTCGGCTGGGCAGCTTTCGGGAGATTACGACACATCTTCTCGTTAGACACCTCAAAACTAGATGGTTCAACCGGTGCGTGTTGCCAGTGATGACCTATGGTTCTGATACGTGGTCCTTCACTGCTGGCCGTATGAGGAAAGTCAAAGTCGCTCAGCGAGCTATAGGCTATGCTCGGAGTTTTTCTGCGAGACTTAAAAACGAGGATATCCACAGTAGGACCAAAGTAACCAACATAGCCCAAAGAACCGACAACCGATGGAGAAGGAAGTTTCTCGAGTGGCAGTATCGTACCGACAGGCGAAGTGTAGGGCATCCCCCCACTAGATGAAGTGACTGAGTGCTCGTTTGTCACCCAATCATATAAAAAATACGTAAAATTTGTATAGAGAAAACTTCATCATCATCATTACAGCCTTTCACAAGTCCACTGCTGAACATAGGCCTCTCCCAAGGAATGCCACAAATCACGCTCCCGAGCCACCTGCATCCATCGACTTCCTGCATGTCTTACCAGGTCGTCACTCCATCTAGCGGGAGGACGCCCTACACTTCGCCTGCCGGTACGAGGCTGCCACTCTAGAACCTTTATTCCCCATCGGTTGTCGGTTCTTCGAGCTATATGGCCGGCCCATTGCCACTTCAACATACTAATTCTTTGAGCTATGTCGGTTACTTTGGTTCTACTGCAGATATACTCGTTTTATACCTAAATATTTTTTTTATTTCTACCATACATAAATATAAGGTAGTTTGCAAGGAAAAATTAGCTTTAAAGTTGGCAGCCTTAGCTGTAGCCCGCAACTGTACATTTATATAGAAATTCAAAAATTCAGGGAATATAAAAGAAAAAAGTCATTTATATACATTTAATTGTCTTTATACACAGAAGACCAGACAATAATTTGAGATGTGACAATTCGTTTAATTATAAACGGCATTTATTATAAATTAATTTCTACCTGTACCTCCCAATAAAATTCTTTATTTGAACAAAACTTTCTACACTAATTATTGTGGCAGAGAAAATTGTACACAACATCCCAGTAAACTGAACGTTTGTTACACTCGAAATTAAGCTAAAAATCAGGAAATACAGCGATCTGTAAAAGTGAGCAAAACACAATCTGAAATCACTCCAGACATTTCTATTTCTCCAATCTTTTTTCAGATGTAAATAACTCTTTGCTAATGTCTAAAAATGTGCATCTGTATGTTAATTAAAAATCATGTTGAATTATTAAATTTTATTCTAATTACAATAATCAATATTACCTCTTTAAAAATAAAATATGTTTGGCTTAGAAATTCGTTTATACATCAGTATAAACTTAAATATAATTCGTGTCATTTATAAATTATAATTATTAGTGAATCAGAATATCCAAAATGCTACACAGCCACTGAAAAATAATATTAATATTTGTTACAAAATATTCCCTCAGTCTGTTCCAACTTAAATTTTCCACGAATGTAAACACTATTTTACGTACTCTTATTTAGAAGTCATATATATATATATATATATATATATATATATATATATATATTTATAAAAATAATTTTAAAATGATGTTAAATATATAGTTATTTGAAGAATATTTGAAGAATTTTTGAGTTGAAATAAGTGTTTAAAATATTTCATATTAACAGTAAATATTGTTAGTATTCGCAGAAAAATCTGACTTTAAAACAATCAGAGAGATATTGTCTTATTTTATATAATAAGGAGATTATTGATCGACTAGTCCCAATTTATGTTTAAATTTTTCATAGGGTCACATAAAGTAGGTATTAAACCAAACAATTTTTGTATGTAGTACTGCCAACTTACTATTATTACCAACTACTTTATAAAAGTTGTTTTTATATCAGCCGTATACAGTAATTGTCAGATAATGTATGTATGAATTAATTCAGTATTGAATGCGCAAGGCTCTATTTCATAAACGTTTTTAAATATATAAAGCAGAATACAAGAGAATGTTCACATGAACACATTTTCTTAGATACATCACCACTTTTAGAAGACTTATCACAAAACAAATGTTGGAAACGTAACCTCATTGACCTATCTGGCTTACCCTCATCCGAACATCTATTACAATAATATAAATAGAAGTAAATCTACAAATATCTATGTTATCTTAATCAAAACATACGAAGATAATTTTTTTCGAATATCTGAATTATTGCGATTTGATACATTCGGAGTTGAGGGAGGGAGGCAAAATTAAATCAGTCGTACCGTCATATCGCCCGTAATTGACTACGTCCGAGACCCGGGTCTGCCTCTCCAAGAAGGCTAAGGCCACTCATCCACTTTCCCACAAGTACCTCCCTATGGAGGACCACACAACTGTCTTATGGTCCCGAACTAAGTATATTTAAATAAAGAGAGATAGAGGAACTGTGAGTGGGATCCGCGCTAATCTAGTCTTAAATTCTAGACATACAGAGCTCATTTTAACGCGTCTGAAGTCTCGAAGTTTTGCTCAGTTACTGAGACAGCATCCGATGCCAGAGCTTCCTTCAATGACTCCACACAATTCTTTGGGATAACTGTACCTGTGTAATAAACAAACAAGACATTAATTTTCATCAAATTACCACTTTTTAATAATTTTTGAAATTTGTTTTTAAATATATAATATACATAAATCGTCACAGAACAGAAAAAAATGTGAACACATTTCACTCAGTAGTCATGTCATTAACCAATTAGCAGTTTTACTGAAAAATATTAATTTATTTATTAATAAATAAACTATTAATTAAATTTATAGGTATGTTAAGGAAAAAGTGTTATTTACTAATTTTTTTTTAAAGATAATTGTATATTTACAGACATTTTTAATATTAATTTCATAATTAATTTCTTATTATATACTAATCATAAATGGCCTTACACATTATAATCGTTGTTGCGTACTTAAATTATAGTCTTTGCGTTATAGATTGGTGTGGGTGAAAACTTACAGTTTAAATGAAATAACGACTGCCAGCACCAGTGATTTCTAGTGAGGCGTTGATTACACCTACAGATTTTCAATATACGAGTGCTTTTGCTATAAATGTGTATAAGCCAGGTCCAGTAGGTCCAATATCGGGACGGAAGATAAAAGTAATCGAGAATTTGGTTTACAAATCTAATAAAAAAATAGAAGAAAGCAGTTTTTAGTAGCCATTTTGGCCGCCATGAGTCTTTTAGATACAGTGCGCAATGTAACAATTTCTTATATTTATTTAAAAATGCGCAATGTGCTTTATAATTATTTTTTGGAACTGAGCTAATGAACGAATAATTTATCGTCCAAACATCGAAAAAACTGTATAGTCGTCTAAGCGAGTTTTTCTTTTTCGGCAAATCAGAACTTGTTGATCGATTAGTTATCATTCATTGAGTTATATATGTATTACGTACTAGAGAAGCCATTCCGAACATTGACTATGTTCAACTGAACTGTAGTGCAATCCATACAAACTAAATATTGCGTAAATTGAAGATTTGTGAATTCCATAAGATAATTATTATTACATTTTATTTAGAAATATGTTTGTTTAGATTAAATTAAGATATTTTATATTAAATTCTTATATTTATTTTATATTAATATCTTATTTTATATTAAATTAAATGCACGCGCATGCGCGACTACTACTCCCGCGCATGCGCGAAGACATAGAGTAGGACACAATTTTTGTTTGGAATGGCTTCTCTAGTACGTAGTACATATAACTCAATGTTATCATTGCAGACTTTGAATTTTCTGAATGACTCATATTAATGTTATTCTAAAAAGGTGGTAAATCTTATGAAGTCAGAACGCATGCACTTCAAAATAACGGCGAATTCAAGACGTCGATGAGTGGCGTAGCTGGGCGGGCGGCATTACTCGGTGAGAGAAAAAACGAAACGGCATGAATTATATCTGTATCTCGCCAACACAACACGCGTAAAACTTAAAACTTTGATGTTGACTATTTAGTCAGAGTTTGGTGAGCCACACTAACCGCTTACAGATATATTCATTTCGATGTCATAATCATCGGGATGTAAAAAATGGGACATTTCGCGTCCCGATCTAGGTTGAATAGCGACGTCTCACCAAACCCCTGAAAATCGAGACACCTGGCAACACTAATGTGTATCGCCTAGCGCTTTTTTAGAAGTTTCCTATCGGCCGTTGTGTAATTTCCAGTTGAGTTGTGTTTTGTAAAGTAAATTTGTGCTATTTGTTGACTTTGTTTATTTAAAATGTCATAACGAACAAAAACATTGTTAAGGCGAGTCAAGCGGGTGGGTTAGTTATTCGCCTTCGAAATTACTTTATGCGAGATCCACAAAATGGCGGAATAAATTTAAAATTATTTAATTCCTTTTTCTTATTTTCACCACTTTCTCTATTTATTTCTTTATTGTAGTACATGAATCGTAAGTTACTTAAATTTAGTATACATGAATATGACGGTATTGAACCACACATAAAATAGAATCATCTTACTTATTTTCAACGATTATATTTGCTTGAAAGAGAAAAGAGTTTGTGTATCTGGGTTCAAAGTTTACAAGAGATGGAAAGTGTGAGAGTGATATCGAAAGAAGAGTGAATGCAGGAAACATGGTGAATGGAGCTTTGCACTCCTTTATGAGCAGTCGGAAGGTGTCTAACAAGGCTCGTTTGGCTGTGCATGAGGGGGTGTTGGTTCCGACACTCATGTACGGAAGTGAAACTTGGGTATGGCAGAAGAAACATGAAAGCAGAATAAATGCAGTTGAGATGAGAGCATTAAGAAGTATGATAGGAGTTAAACTAAGTGACAGGCTAAGAAATAGTGAGATAAGGAAACGTTGTGGTCTGAAAGAAGATGTAGTGACAAAAATTGAGAAAGGTATGCTGAGATGGTTTGGCCATGTCGAGAGAATGAATGAAGGACGATTGACGAAAAAAGTGTATAAGGCGAGTGTGAATGAAAGTGTTGGAAGGGGTAGACCTAGGCGGACATTTCTAGACCAAATCAGGGACGTCTTAAAAAAAGGCCAGGTCAAGAGTACCCTAAACCGTAGAGCATGTATGAAGGGAATAATGAAAGTGGACGAAGCAAAACAAGTATGCAAGAATCGTAGCAAGTGGAAAGAACTGGTCTCTGCCTACCCCCACGGGAAAGAGGCGTGATTATATGTATGTATGTATGTATATTTGCTTGACAGTTTTACGTCCGATTATGAGGCCAATCTCTAGTAATTAAAAAAAATTACCGCTAGTTTGCATAATATGTAACTGTGCACGCAAGTGAAATAAATGATACTTTTATAATTTTATTAATAAAAAACTATATTAGGTGAGATTTTTTAAGTTAATGATAATTTAATAGTCATAACAGAATAGGAAAAAATAATAAAAACAAATGCAGTGTTATTTTGTCATAGTTATAAATGTTGTAGTACTTAATCTTGCAAACGCATGCAACGTTCTAGTGATCTGTCAACCTGTCACCCGCACCATGCTATTACACATAGATTATAGCTATTAATTATTTCTATACGTGTTTTTTACTATTTGAATGAATGAATGAATATACTTTTATTGTACACCACGAACAAATATACAAACGTCATAACAAAATCAGATTATAATATGTACAATTTGGCGGCCTTATCGCTACATAGCGATCTCTTCCAGGCAACCAAAGGTGTAAAGTAATACAAACAATGAATAGGTAGGTGGTAGGTGGTGCAATATAAATATACAAATAATAAATGCAAAAAAAAAAGATATAAATAACTAAGTAATACATGAAATAATATAAATTACTAACACATAATAAAAGATAAGGTAACACATATAATATATACATATACATACACATATACATACATATATACATACACACATATATATAAACATATATACATAAATATACACACAACACGTATATATCAATATATATATATATATATACAAAATTCCTCAAACAATAATATAAAACTGATAGATACAATAAATACATAATCACACAATCTATCCTAACGGTCTCCGAACGACTGAGACAAGTAATGCTCTTTAAGTAATCGCTTAAAGATAACAATAGTTTGTGCCTCACGTATATGCAAAGGTAGGGCATTCCAGAGCTTAATAGACTGGACAGTAAAAGATTTATTGAAAAATGATGTATTGTGAGTTGGCACACTTAAAATGAATTTTCTAGAAGAGCGTAAAGGTTCCCCCGGAAGCCCCACAAAATTAAACTTCTCCTTTAGATAGGGAGGAGTAGAAGGGTGAAATAATACACAGTACAGAATAGAAAGTATATGCATGTTCCGGCGAAGTCGGATAGGTAACCACTTGAGACGTGAGCGAAATTGGGAAATATGGTCAAATTTGCGCAATCCAAATATGAACCGAATACTAGTATTTTGAAGTCTCTCAAGCTTATTTAGCTGGTCCTCAGTTATGTCTACATAGCTTGCGTCAGCATAGTCGAGAATCGGAAGGAGAAGAGACTGTGCGAGCATAATTTTTGTAGGAATGGGAAGAAATGATCGAAGGCGACGCAGTGAACAAAGAGCGACAAAAGTTTTCTTACTTACCTCATTCAGTTGGCGTATCCAATTTAAGGAATTATCAATATAAATACCAAGATTTTTGACATTGTCAAAGTAAGGGATAACAACTCCATCGAATACGATAGGTGGTACAGAGAACCAGTCAATTCTTGAGATAAAGCTCTGGCTACCAATAATGATAGCCTGAGACTTTTTAGGATTGACATTTAGGCCATATGATTTACTCCACTCGTGTATAAAATTTAGATCCTTATTTAATGTAGCGATTGCATTCGGCAGATTCTCAAGAGTTGACTGGGTGTAAATCTGGACATCATCCGCATACATGTGGTAGAGAGAGGATATTTTATGAGTGATTGAATTAATGAAAATGGAAAAGAGTAAAGGTGACAACACGCCGCCCTGCGGCACGCCTGCAGTTATATCACACCAAGATGAGTGAGTTTCATCGACACGAATACACTGCCGACGGCCACAGAGATAACTTTGAAACCAGTCAATTACTGATGGAGATATGTTAAGGGAACATAACAGACTCAACAGTATATCGAAGTCAACAGTATTGAACGCATTACTGAAATCCAGCAAGGTCATGACTGTGAGTTGTTTATTATCCATACCCCACCGTATGTCATCAGTAACTTTGATTAAGGCAGTAGCCGTACTATGACCTGGACGGAAACCGGATTGTAAGGAATTCAATAAATTGTGCTTATTAAGGAAAAGGGTCAGCTGTTGGCAAATAAGTTTTTCAAGGACTTTAGAAAGGAAAGGTAAGATCGAGATGGGACGGAAATCAGAGAGGTTGACGGGATTAGATTTCTTTGGAAGGGGTATAATATGAGCACTCTTCCAGGCTTGAGGGAATTTAGAGGAAGAGACACAAGCATTGAGTAAATAAGTGATAATGGGAGTAATAACATCAAGGAGAGGAACAATCATATTACGGCTAATGTTGTCGCTACCGGCAGCATTTGAGGAGATGGATAATATGGTCTTC